TTTGCCATTATGGCCCCACCTCCACTTCACTGGCATCCCACGTGTCCTGGATGGACTTGACCCGGCTGATGTGGGGGATGCTTCGGTGAAGGAGCGAGCAGGCCTGGCAAACAAACACACCCAACGTCAGTGACGCCCAGTCTGGCTCTGCAGGAGAAAGAGGAAAGACAAAGGAGGGAGAGCCGCAGGAATGACAGAGAGATGACGTAAGAAGAACAAACATGGAGGTGCGTTTGAGGAGAAAGGGAGGAAATGCAATTGGGCAAAGTGGTACAGAGGGATGATAAAAAAAGATCAAGGAGAGATAAAGAAGGAGAGGTGAGAAAATCTTGTCATAAAGGCACTGCAACAAAATGAACAGCAGCTCAAGGTTCCGGCTATAAATACTTAAAGTGATGATGTTGGCGCTGTTAGGGAGTAATAGCAGCAAAATATATGAAGTAAATATTACAGGAGACTCTGGCTGAGTGTATCTCTGCTCATAAAGAGACCAGCAGGGCAGCAAAATATGATTTGGTGGAAATCATTTAGTCTAGTGTCAGGAAATAGTCTGCTGATCAGAACTCAGCCAAGGAAGTTATCAGGTTAGAAGCAGCACCAGACTCCTAAATATACAGTGATAACATCATCACATACATGCACAAAAATACACAAAGACAAAAGAGCCAAATCTGAATGGTTACGCTCACAATTGTATGCACGTGCAGTGTTTTATACTTTAAAAGCGTTAACTTAATAAGAAAAGAACAATCAAACAAACCCAAATGTCGAGGCTTGTATGCCCACACACCCATGCATCAAGACTATATGCTGCTCACTGCCAGCACAACTATGGGACTAAACACACACTTTGAGTTCAGCTCTAGGAAGCTACAGTAACAGGCTCATGAGCAGTCAGAGAGAATGTGCACAAATGGAAAAAAGGAGGGTTTTCTCTGCACACAACAGCAGCATTCATGGCTGTTCAGCAAAGGTACATTTGAATCATTGTTTCACACAGAGAACATGATTCTGCCCATGCAAATGAAGTCATCAAAGTCAGAGACGCAGTGTGTCAGAGACAGTGGCAAAGGAAAAAACAAAGAATGTGAGATTTACATACAAATGCAAATTGGAGGCCAGAGATACCAGTGGTTATAACCAAGGAATGATTTCTAGAGTGCAGCTTAGCAAACAGGTAATATTACATGAAAAGCAATTGATACATACTCTGTTTGTCAACAGCTTAAATAACTGAGTCGTTGTTTTCACATCAAGAGAAAAATGTTAAACATTTGCCATTTCCAGTTACTCAAAAACAATGAACCTCTGTTTCTCTGTGCTTTCACGGTAGTTGACATAAAAATGTTTTGTAATGTCACTGGATTTTTGGGCCCTGCTGGATGTCGCCTTGCATTCTGGGAAACTGTGACAAGCATTTTTTTATTTACCATTTTCTGACATTTAACAGACTGACATTTTTATTAATTAATCCAAAAAATTATTAACAGATAAATTAATTAGAACAATTAGGGCTGTAATTAATGATGATTTCAGTTAAAGGAGAACAGTCAGCAGCAGCATAACGCTGTTAAACACAACTGTCCAAGTCAAGTGAAAGTGAAGCCCAACAACTGGAGGAATAGTGGACATTCATGGTTCCCAGATGAGAAATCCTATTGGTGACACCCTGAATTTTCCTCTGGTGCTACCACAAGGTTTACATTTTAATTTGTTAGTGAAATGTCTTAACTGCTGGATTGACATGAAATCGCACACACACATACTTTCAAAGGTTGAATCTAAATAACTTAGGTGCGCCCTTGAGCTTTCCTCTAGTTTAATCATTAGGGCACATTTCACTTGGTTTGACCAAAATATCTGCACAACTAGTGGCATATTTTGTTTTAGTACTAATTACTGCAGCTAAAATTTGCATGTTAAAAAAAGTGAACATGGTAAAGCACCACTGTACCAAAGTACAGTCTCACATAGCTGCAAGTATGACTCTAGCCTGTTAACTCTGTTGCTAAATATCACCATCAATTCAATTGTCAAGGAATTGATTATCAAAACAGTTGCTAGTCCATTTTCTGTCTGTCTTATTGAATAGTTACTGATTTCAGGGGTGGCCGTAGAGCAGATCACTCCCTAACCACCAGGTTGGTGGTACGATCCCCGGCTTCCCCAATGCATATGTCAGTTTCCTTGCACAAGACACTGAGCACCAAGTTGTTCCCGGTGATGTCACCGGTGTGTGAATCTGTGAGCGTATGGATGAATGGGCAAATAGGGTTAAAGCACTTTGAGTATGCTTCAGTAAATAGAGAAGCGCTATACAAGTCCATTTCCATTCAGTTAACTAATAGTTTCAGTACTACTAACCACAGAAATACCAAGGTCTTCTTTAGCTTTTGGTTCCTAACCATCCCATTCATGAAAGTCTTATCAATGCTATATTTTTGAGGCCAATACTGACATTTAATTGACATTTGACTGATGTTGTATCAGCCAGTATTAAAAATATATACGATATGATATGTTCTGAAAGGCTGTACATCCAATTTACAATAGAGAATAAACTACAGTATAAACTTTATGTCAAACAGATCTTTAGCAAATCTGCTGATACTAATAATCTAAAGTTAATTGACAATGTCACCATGTATCAGTCAGGCTCTACTGGATTTTGTTTGTGTACATTGCACTATGTATTCACATGTTTTAGCATGCATAGCGTGTGCATGGCCATAGGTGACTGAGTGTACCATGTCCTCAATTGGCAACAGTCAAAAGTCACCACATTCTCTCTCCATCTTACCCTCTCTGCAGCTGCCATTTGTCACACAAGGAGGCCCGCAGCCTGGTGCACCACAGCCATGTACGAATATGAGCACAGACATGCTTGCACGCATACACAGTGAGAGTGTGTAATACTAAAGGAAGTCATATGAAAGCTACAGGAGAGAGAAGGGAGGAAGTGGGGAAAGAAATACTATTCTTGCATTTCTCTGTCCTCTTGAGGCTGGTGAAAGGATTGTTAGAGATACGACAAAGACTGACTGGGGATCAGTGGAGATGAAGAGAAGGTTTAGAGATGAAGAAGTGATGGAGGAAAGGTAGGAGAGATAATATAGGAGGTATAGTGGAAGGAAAGGGAGAAAGAGAATCAGAATCAGAATCAGCTTTATTGGCCAGGTGTGACACACACACGAGGAATTTGACTACTGAGGTACATCGGCTCTCAATGTACAAACAGTAAACCAGCATAAGGCTGTGTAATAAAACAAAAAAAGCAGTATTTACAGCAACATTGACAGCAACAAACAGTGCACACAATGCAGAATAAGCAGTATAAACAGACAGTAAACAATGCAGACCACAAGGAATGTTTGTTGAAATGAGATAAATAGGGATAAGAACAGAATACTTAAGAACTAGAGACCTGTATAAGTCTCTATAATCTGTACGAGGTATATTTACAGGTATTGCACTGAGGGTTATAGTCCAGTCATACTGTTGTGGATTAAGTGTTCATCAGAGTGACAGCCTGGGGGAAGAAACTGTCCCTGTGCCTGGTTGTCTTGGTGCACAGTGGCCTGTAACACCATCCAGAGGGGAGGAGTTCTCCACCCTCCTTTTGACCCATGAGGTGTTCAGGTCCTCCATGGAGGGCAGGCTTGCACTGATTATCTTTTCTACAGTCCTGACTGTCCGCTGAAGTCTGTACTTGTCCTGTTTGGTTGCTGAGCCAAACCAGACAGTGATGGAGGTGCAGAGAACAGCCTCAATGATTCCTCTGTAGAACTGTATCAGCAGGTCCTGGGGCAGGTCAAACTTCCTGAGCTGGAACAGGAAGTACATCCTCTGCTGTGCCGTCTTTGTGATGGTCCTGATGTTGGACGTCCACTTCAGGTCCTGGGAGATAGTGGAGCCCAGGAACTTGTTGGACTTTACTGCTGATACAGTGCTGCCAAGTATGGTAAATGGAGGTAAGGTGGGAGGGCTCTTCCTGAAGTCCATTGTCATCTCCACTATTTTCAGCGTGTTCAGCTCCAGGTTGTTGTAGCTACAGGACACAGAGCTGCTCCCCCGACAATCACTGAGTCTAAGGTGGGGAGGGTGAGGGGGGAGTGTTGATTGTCAAACCTACAGTAGAACACATTCAGGTTGTCTGCTAGTTGACGGTCCTCCAGTAGGGGGGGATGGTTTTCTATAGCCAGCGATGGTTTTTAGGCTCCCCCACACAGACGAGGGGTCGTTGGCTTAAACCTGAGCTTTCAGCTTTTCAGAGTAGCTCCTCTTTGCTGCTCTGATTTCCCTTGTCAGTGTGTTCCTTGCCTGGCTGTACAGAGTCCTGTCCCCATTGCTGTAGGCCTCCTCTTTGGCACGACAAAGCTGCTTGAGTCTTACTGTGAACCAGGGCTTGTTGTTGTTGTATGTGCAGAAGGTCTTTTTGGGCACACACACATCCTCACAGAAGCTGATGTAAGATGTCACAGTGTCAGTGAGTTTGTCCAGGTCTATAGCTACAGTCTCAAATACACTCCAGTCTGTGCAGTCAAAGCAGGCCTGTAGCTCTGACTTAGCCTTCTCAGTCCAGCTCCTCACTGTTTTGACTACAGGCTTCGCAGCTTTAAGTTTCTGCCTGTAGGTTGGAATAAGATGGACCATACAGTGATCAGAGAGTCCGAGGGCTGCGTGGGGGACAGAGTGATAGGCGTCTTTTATTGTTGTGTAGCAGTGGTCCAGTGTGATTTTATCCCTGGTGGGACAGGTAATGTGCTGTCTGTATTTGGGCAGTTCGTGGGTGAGATTTGCTCTGTTAAAGTCCCCTAGAACAATGAGTGGAGAGTCAGGACGTTATAGCTCCAGGCTAGTTATCAGTTCTGCTAGGAGCCGTAGCACGTTAGTGTTAGCCTGTGGTGTTATGTACATTCCCATTAGCATGAAACTGTTGAATTCACAGGGAGAGTAAAAGGGTTTGCAATTGATAACAAGAGACTCTAGGTCACGTCCTCTGTAGCACTGCGTTATCTGTGCAGCAACCTTCATTTATGTAGAAGCAGATTCCACCTCCTCTCATTTTCCCGGACAGCTCCTTTACACGATCTGTTCTGTACACCTGGAAGCCTGGTATTCAAATCGCGCTGTCCGCCATGGAGTCG